GCACCATTAATACAGAGGACTAATGACAACAACCAGGAACAGCTGATCACATGGGGATCCCACACGGGGTTAACGAAGGGGCGTGGCACACTGAAGGAGCGGACGATCGGGGCAGGACAGGGGTAATGTTGGGATAAGATCTTTATCGTTTTGGAAGCCATTAAGAAAGAAATACTCTTCTTGTTTTATCCTGTTCATTTTGTGTTTAAATGCTAAAAAAAACATTTAGGTGTAATTTTGGGGAGCCGGGAACCAATTAATTGGTTTTCCATTATTTCTTATGGGAAAAATTCGATCAGAACTCAAACTTTTTAGGATTCGATTCGGAGTCCGGAACAGATTAAGTTCGAGAACCGAGGTGCCACTGTATATGTTTTATCAAAATATTAAATAGTATAAAGAGTTTTAAGTATAATCTATTTTTCAGTCTCGGTTCTCCCGAGAACTTCTGCTCTGTGTATACCCCCGTGTCACTGTCTCTGTATTTTAAAACTTGCCCTGTTGTCAGATGGACATCGATCATCTGTTCTCTGTCATGAGTCTCTACAGCATCAACATCGTATAGTCTTGTATGTCTTGTCCCTGTGCATTCACTTTCTGTGTCATTCATGTCATTGTCAGTACTGTAGTTCCTATTATCTCCCATCTTTTCTCCACGTTTGTGACATTTTCTGTGTAATCATCAATATCCATGTTATGGTCAGCTACTTGTGATAACTCATCTCCTTGTTTGATGTCATTTTCAGCATTGACATTTCTGAGGTGTTGATCATCAGTGCTAACCTTTCTGAGTCTGAGGTAGTGTACCTTCACACAGGTTCCTCCATGTCAGACAAAGACCACTGCTCCATCTTGACCAATCACAACTCCTGGTCCTTTCCACTCTGGACGGGCCACTCTTTTATAGTACACTTTATCGCCCATTTCATCTCTCTCATCCGTGTTGTACAATTGTTTACGCAATGCTCTCCTTATTCTTTCTGAACATTCTGCCTCTATAAATGCTTTTCTTGCTGCATGTAAAGCGGAGATACGCTTGGCTACCTACTCACTTTTTGTGGTGCCCTCTAATGCTGGAGGCTTGTCGATCAGCACAGAGGGCAAGTTTGGATTCTGTCCAAATACCAACTGATGAGGTCTGTAACCATAAACATTTTGCAAGGTGTTCTTTGCCATAAGCGCCCAGTCCAATGCAGTTTTACAGTCACAGCCATTACTTGCTCTCACCTTGATGATGATTTCAGTCAGTATCTGATTGTGTCTTTCTGATTGTGTAGCAGAATGCTTCCCTCCAAAAATCCTCTTTAGTGCCGATTTCATAGAGGCAAAAGTTAATTCTGTACACGCTGTTAGAGCTAACTGGCGATCTTTCACTTCCAAGCATGCAGAATCTAGCAGTTTGAAGGCTAACATAGCATCGGGAAGTTCCATTCTGTACTTACGCATTCGTGAATATCTCTGTTCAAATTCAATTATATAGTCAGTCATGGAGGCATTTTTATCTCTCACATTTCAATCAACGTTCGAGTAGGCTTCATACATTCGATCCTTTTCCTATTTGAGAAATATGCCATCAAGCGCTTTAAGCAGCATTGTCATGCTGTTTTCCTTGTTTAAATCATGTACTGGCACTTCCTTCCCACTTCCCTCCCTGATAGTGTCAACGCCACTGCGAGTGCTTGTTTCTCTTTGTCAAGCTCTGTTACCCTTGTCCAGACCGCAAGTTCATTCTTCCAGGTTTCGTATGGCTAATTGTCGAAGGCAAACCGAAGGCAAAGGGGGAGGACGCTGGCGTGTTTTGTCGCTGCTTCCCCTATATCCTCTATGCTCTTATGCTTTACGCTCTCCCCGAGGTAGTTTGACTACTTCCTAGTTGTTTTATGGTTTGTAATCTACAAACTACAAGCCATAATTTATTGAACTGAACTGGCTCTGTCGAGCTCCAAGTAGCCCCCGATCTCCACCGCAGTCGATTCCCGTACCTCTCGCTGGCGGACCCCTTCAGCGGCTGGCGGCATGACGCTCACGTACACCGCCGCACAGCTACTTAGCCTCGATACATACACTCGTCCAGTGTGTATGTCCATCATCGGGGAACTTGGACTTCTACGCCGACCTCGTTACATCCATAGAAGTTCCCGGAGAAAATTCATCTATAATCTCCCCCCCCCCCACTGTCCCCCATACCCCCCCTCCCCTAAAAAAACCCCGCCTCTCTGGTCAGTAACCG